GTGTCATGTTTGTATGTATAACTAATGCAAAATGAATAAAAAGATTTTAATTTTTTTTTAAATAAAGAAGAAATAATAATTAAATAAAAAAGGTGATTAAAAAGTAAAAGAAATTATAAGAAAAAAATATAACAAAATAAATAAAAAATAAGATTAAAAAATTATAAAAAATAAAAAAAAAGGAAAAGATGAATAGATAAATATTAAAAATTTAAAAAAGTAAAAAAATGTAAAAAAGAAACAAACAAAAAATTAAAACTAACCCTGTCGCCCCGCCATTTCTGGTTGACATTCTCCATTGGCGGGGAGGGGGGCGCGTTGAGGAACCTGGCCTTGGGGCAGCAGGGAGAGTAAATCCGGTAAAATAGAGGTGGATTTACTGGAGGAGGTTCACCTAGCACAGTTAATGATAACAGTGGAAAGTAAATGTTAGTAAATAAGATGAACCCGTGTCTGCTTTGAGCATACAATTACAAAACTAGAATTAGAACATGATTGGTTGATTTAAGTGAACACAGCTTCATCTGAACAGTTCCCATTCATTGATTAAATCAACCCCAAAATATAGAAGGTTGCTTACCCACTTCTAGTCCCTCCAGCTGTGGTGAAACTACAAATCCCATGAAGCATCTCTCTCCGGGAGTCATGTCTGTGAGAATCTTGCAAAGCCTCATGGGATTCGTAGTTCCACCACAGCTGGAGAGCCGCAGTTTGGACCTCCCTGCTTTATAGCCAACACATCAAGAGTGACGAATCTGCTGAATAGGAACTTATTCCTATATAATCGCAAGGAACAGGAAAACATGGTTCAGTACGGAGTTCCTCTTTAAGACACCACACTATGATTAGTTGACAGCCTTTACATTGATCTGAATCTATCACAAAATGTTCACTGGTTGAGTAATATAAAGTATAAACATTTACTTTTTGTAAAATGATTTCCAGGGTAATGGCTTCCTGTCCTTGTGGTTTTCTGTACAAGAATAGATATATTTCAATGATGTACATGATTATAGTTGTAAGTTTGTCATTGGTTGTGGTTCCCCTCTGTGGCCTGGGCTCATGCTGCTATTGGGTGCTTGTGTAGATGGGGCTCTGTATGTTTCCTCGCTTCTACTGTGTAGCAGCATGCCCTCAGATACTGAAATAAACAGGCCAATTGTAATTCAAACAGGGAAGTTTCTGAGAAGTCATCACTTTGTGGTTTATCTTGGTTTTCTCCTGACAGATCAAGGAAGCTCTCAGGGTGCTGGGCTTCCATACCATGGTTCAGGCTCTGCTGTAAACCATCAGAACAAATCACTGCACTGCACTGATTTTATATGACCAGGCTGATAACGTTTTTAATAATAAAAATGCCTATAAAGTACACCATATGGCCAAAAGGTAAGTCCAAGTATGTGGCCAAGAAGTATGAGGACACCCTTCCAAATTATTGGGTTCAGGTGTTTCCATTGACGGGTACTGTTCATGCTACAGCATACAAAGACATTTTAGACAATGAAGCAGTTCCAACATTGGGGTAAGAGTTTGGGGAAGACCCTTTTTTGTTTCACCATAACTGTGCCCCTGTCTACAAAGCCCACTCCATAAAGACATGCTTTGACTATTTTGGTTTGGAGGAAATTGTGTGGCCTGACCTCAACACTACTGTACACCTCTAGGATGAAATTGAATGCTGAATGTGAGTCAGATCTTCTCTTCTAACAAATGTTTTTTTGGCTGAATGGGCAAAAACTCCCATAGGCACACTCCAACATCTTGTGGAAAGCCTTCTTAAAAGAGTGGAGGGCCAAGCTTCAGTATCTTGTTAGTCGGCCCTGCTGGCTCTCAAAACACGTGAACAATGCCTGCATCCAATCAGATTGTTCAGGTATTTTGAGAGCCAGCGGGGCCGACTAGCAAGATACTGGAGTTTGGCCTATTGGGAGATTCCTCCATACACACAGTTTAGCGTAGATGAGAGGAATCTGTTTCACTTTTTTCATCTGACCCTAGAAAACCTGCAGATAATCTATAGGTGCATGGTCTGCTTTAGACTGTTGTCACTGAAAGAGGTGATGTGGGACCAGGGGTGCCCTCTTACCTGTGGTCCAGCAGGTACGGTGGAGATTGTAAGGTCCTTCTTGGGGTGATTTGTTGCCCGGTGGCGGCTGGTTGCGTGGCGTGCGTGCGCACGTGCCATTGCCATGGCCTATTAGTCGCCTCGGGTGCTGATCATTGCCAGGTAGGGCTTTGCGAGCACACCTCCCCTAGCAGTCCCATTGGTTCCCCGAAACCTGTAGCTTCCTCGTTACCCACACAACGGGGGCGTTTCTGGTTCCTTCTGGGTTTAAATCCCAGCCAGAGGTGAGTTATTCTGCCATTCCCAAAGCAGCTACAAAGCCTCATTTCCTGTTTCCTTTCATGCTATTTGGATCTTCTGGTTATCGACCCCTGGCTTGTCTCTCCGTTTATGATACTTGCTGCCTGCCTCGACCCGGACTGTACTCTGTACCTCAGCCTGTACTTTGTACCTCAGCCTGGACTCTCCTTCTGGTATTGTTGCCTGCTATTGGGGTCCACTCCAGCAAACAGAGGCACTTCACTCCCCCCTAACAACAGGTCTTCACGTGAAAAGATTTCCCCTTACCTCCTGTTCCGGTGACAACTGTAAAAGCTTCTAATTGAACAGTTATGGATCAGCAACAGACTGATGAGGTCATCTTTTTCCTCTGCTCCCGTCATTATGTTCTTTCTCAGCACATATGTTGACAGGATACCTGACTGGCTCCAACTACTGGTCCTCTTTCACCTCTTCTGAGCTTTTTTTCAAAGTTTTGGATAAAGTTTACAGAAATACATTTTCTCTCTGGGTTTTATTTCTTTCTGTGACCCCATGTGTTAGATTTTCCCTCACTTCATGCACTTCTACCGCCCAAGCAGAAAAGCACAGACAACGATAAAAACAACATCATGAGTTCTAACTCTTCCCCACTCTACGGTAAAAGTTTTTGTGCCTGTGTCCCCTTTGACAGGAAGTGGGGAGAAATCTCCCTAAAGGTCCCCACACACCTTACGATAATCGTACGATAATCGTGGGAAATCCCGCGATCGTACGATTATCGTAAGGTGTGTGGAAGCCGTGCGACCTCTATATTTTGTAATGTAAATTTTTCCGACAGGGTTCCGTTTACCTTAATTTGTGCCGTAGGGTCATTATATAGGGCCATTACCCCCATTATATATTTAGGTCCCAAACCCATTATTTGCAAAGTAGCCCGTAGATAATCCCAGTCAACTCTATCAAACGCTTTCTCCGCGTCCGTAGATAGCAACAGGGTGGGATTTGGGAGTAATGAAGCCTGATGTATTAAATTAATCGCCCTCTGGGTACTATCCCTTGCCTCTCTGCCGGGTATAAAACCCGTTTGATCATTTGTTATTATCTGGGGTACCAGTGCACTAAGTCTATTTGCTAATACTTTGGCGTAGATTTTAATATCTGTATTAAGTAACGAGATTGGCCTATAGCTACTACAGATGGTTGGGTCTTTACCAGGTTTAGGAAACATAGCTATATATGCATGTAATGTTGAAGAATTTGGGAGGGAGCCGTTCATAAATGAGTTAAAATACTCACTCAAGTAGGGAAGAAGTACCTACCTGACAGACTCTAACCCTTCCCCACATTTTCAAAAACAACATTTTAAAAATGTGGGCTTTTCTTTTGCCTAAAAGTTGAAACCAATATATTAATTGAAGACTCGACTCTAAGACTTCTAGAAAAAATATTTATTAATAACAAAACACATCAAAAATCATTTTAACAATAATCATATTTTTAGGTAGTACATATAAACATTTGTAAACAGACGATATGGAGTTGGCAGTAGTAGTAAGGAACGTCCAGAGATGTCTGAGGTGATACACAATCTTCCCGATTAGCATCCCAATTCTCCCGATCTCATGTGAACGTATAAGCTGCCCCTTAGTAGATCCTGTTGGGTTGACTTAAGCTGACTTACAGTTGAGCTCCAAGCAAACAGCATAGGATTTGTATTTCTGTCCATCGAGCCCTACGATTTACACATGGTGGCAGGGAAGGAGACCCGACCTTTCTCCGCTGCAGTTTCATTTTCATGTACAGGTCTCCTCGCCACCCTGTGACTGGACAGTAAAATGAGAAGCAGCGCACTAATAATGTCACACAGTATCTCTGACACTTTACACTCTTCTCCTATCAGCATGCCTCTTGCACTGCAGCACACTGGCTCTTTGGGCTGCTTCTCTCTTTCCCCAGTCTGAGCTCTGCTGTGAAGGAACTCCAAGAGACTGATTGCAAGTCAAGTTCAGTTATTTACACTGCTTCCATTAAAAATAAAAAAATTAAATTTAAAGGATATTTATTGTCAAAAACTAAAAATAAATATGTATTTCTTTAACGTATATAATTTCCATAAGTTCTATCCCATTCCTATTACCCATATCCATCTTGAAGTTTGTAAGCTTACTTATTGAAGATGCCCATAGGATGTACTTCCTTAATGCACAATTTCATTTTCAATATGCACTTCCTTGTGTTGCTACTCTAACTAAGGCTGCTGTCTGAACTTCCCACAATGTAACAGTATCATTGCTTGCTGGAAGCAATGCATCATGGGATATGTAGTCTTGAGAAATGGAGATTGCATCACGTCAAGCAGCAGGGAAAGAGATGCAAAGTGCTCTGGGAATCCTGGAAGTTGATGAAAGAGATGGGCAAACGGAAGACAGCGCTCACTACATAAAAGGGATTTTTTCAAGTAGGCTGATTGTATTATCAGAAACATCCCTAGTATGTATTCCTATTACAATGCTGATGTAATAACAGGAGAGGATATGCTGGGACTTTAGAGCTCCTTTTAGAATATATTAATGAATATTGAGCTGTATTAATTTGTATTTTTGTTATAGTTGCCTGGAGTTCAGCTTTACACATCCCTAGGATGAGGATCTGTTAGATTCCAATTTTCGGGCTGGTATAATCTCGGTTAATTTATAATCAGTAGTGGTCACCGGGGCAAGCAGCCAGACAGGCCATCTGCCACTCTGGGCACAGTCACAAAGCTCACTGGGCAGCGTAAGTATGGACATAGCTGTTCATGGTCCTTCAACACTTGACTCAAGTGCTTCAGTTCATCCGTGAGTTTTCCAATCTCCTTCTTAAGGGAGGAATTCTCCTGTTCCAGACATTCATATTCCTGCAAAAGGAAAACAGAAAGATGAAGTTAATTTCCTACACGCAGCTGACTTCCTTTCTGGTAATTCCATTGAACAATAACCCCCAACTAACACAAGTAATTCTCTTTCAGACTGAATCTAGGACAATAAATAAATAGGCAACACAGTAAAGATAGTGAAACACGAGACAATTTCTTAGTTTTGGAACGAGTGTTCAAGAGTTTGAAGTAGAGATTTTGTATTTGGTATGTTCCCCTGTTTCCCCCTTCTGTGTTGTTGCATTTAGTATGACCCTTACCCAGGCACTCCCAGTCTCACTATGCTGTTGAGTTAAGCTGGCCATACACTATTAGAAATTCATTTGAACGTTCATTTGAAATCATTCGTCAATTTTGCCATCATTGAGTCAACTAATTTCTTTCGAAAGCCCATCAAAGCTTCAACTAGACCGGCTACATGAATGGAATCCCAGACATATTAAACTGCTTTCTTTTGTGCCTTGCACATGTACATTACAATATGTATGTGTGAACAAAAATCACATTCACGGTTTGAATTTTGTTCATTCAAATATGAAATGAATCATTTTACACTCTGCTCCTTCGATGTTCCTCATCACTACAATCGAAACAAGGACTAGACCCAACTAACTAACATTATAAAATCAAATGTTCGAAAAATAAAATTTTCCAATGAAATTCTACTGGTGTATGGCCAGCTTACGTTTCAGTTTTCCACCTCTGCAGAGTCAACTTTGGGAAAGCCATTGGATGGGGGAATTTATCGAAACTGGAGCAGACAGAATCTGGAGCAGTTGCCCATAGGAACCAATCAGCTTTTCTTTTTATTAATTCAAGCTCTGAGAATGAAAGAGAGTTGCTCCAGATTCTGTCTGCTCCAGTTTTGATAAATTCCCCTCATGGTCTTTTTACACGTCAAAAACATCCTTGCATTGTATTGAGCTAAAGTAGCACTACACTGGATTCTACATCTGTGTGTTCTAGGTGAGTTAAACTGCCTGTGAATAATGCCAAGTCAGCAAGTTGTCATAATGCTGATTCAAACTGGGTCTCTGGAGGTATGTCTTTTGCATATGTCAACATTCAAAACAGAACAATGAGAGAGAAGTGTATCAGTACTGGAGCAGACAGAATCTGAAGCAGTTGCACATAGTAGCCAATCAGCTTCCCTCTTCAGTTTGTTTGTTAAAGGAGAACTATTGGAAGATTATAATATACTCTTCCAATAGTTTCAATAGATTTGTAGTTTCACCAAAGGGGGAGGGCCGGAGTTTGCCTACCCCTGCTCTAGACCTTCCCCAATATATCCAAAATATAATGTTGTGGCTAGAGTTGGTGTTTCAGCTCTGAAAGCTGCTAGACATACTTTAATGCTTCTTAGAATTGCATAATGCAGATGTGAGCACACTTACACCACCACAGCTATTGAGGAAGCTATTGGAATTCCCAAGCAAATTTGGAAATACTGGAGCTTCAGCAGAGAGCACGACCCATTGGTGCATATCTTTCAGTTTTACTTTCATCTTCACTTCCCAACTGAACAGGGCAACCTGCCATCTGTGGTTGGGTGCCTTGCAGAACAGATACTGCATGTATGCCCGCACAAACTTCTGCATAAGGATGATGAACCCCGCCGTGAACGGGAATTGTACACACTCTTATCTCCTCTCTTCTGTTTCTGCTACTAAAGAAAGGATTATTTACTATAAGTGTATGGCTCTTACACATCTCCCTGCCCGGCCCTTACCAACCTGGGTAATCTGTCCGTGTGCAAGCTGCTGCATTGACCTACCTTGTGTCTCTCCTCTTCTCACGCCTGAAGATTTCTACTGCGCATGAGCCCGTCGCATGATTCTTTGCAGCTGCCCAAGAATCTCCAGACGGGAGTGTGCAGTAGAGACCCCAGGTAAGTTTTAACCTTTTTGATAACTTTTTTTTCTGCATATATCTACTGCTCGCTAGCAGTAGATATATGCAAAAACACGCAAGGGTTTGAGTATCCTTTAAATCTTAAAAATGCATTGAAGTACTCTAATTATTAACAAAAATTTATCTTATTTGTGTATCACTCGGCTGTAGTTCCTCAAATCATCTCTGAATTGGTGCGGACACTGTCCTTCCTTCTGGAGGGTGGCTACTTTTGATCCCTATGGTCCCTGTGTGTGTTGTAATGTAGCCACCGCTCCAAGCTCACTCCTGTGATGGACTACAATCTCAGGTTTAGTTTACTAATTTGTATTGAGCTTGTAGTCTATCACAGGAGTGAGCTTGGAGCGGTGGCTACTTTACAACACACACAGGGACCATGGGGAACAAAAGTAGCCACCCTCCAGAAGGAAGGACAGTGTCATCACCAACTAAGAGATGATTTCAGGATCTACAGCGGAGTGATACACAAATAATCTACATTTGTGTTAATAGTTCAGGTACATAAATGCATTTTGGAGATTTAACTCCTGAGTTTAGTGTCACTTTAGGTGAAAGATTTATCTTGTCCACATAACCTGACGTTATGTGTTTTTTTAAATGTATTTTTATGGAATCTTTTCATTCTGATTTACCTCGTGTAACTTGTCTGCTTTTTGCGTCTGTTTCCGGCGACTTCTCTGGGCGGCCACTCTGTTTTTTTCCCTCCTTCGTACTTTTCTGTCGCCTACATCAGAGCCCTGGAAGAGAGTGAGACAAAAGTGTACATTTGAATCTGAACTCCAGGCAAACATTTTATAACACAGATGAAATAGATACAAGAGCTGTTTTACTTGCCAAAGGATTTGTATTTCTCTCAGTATTTCAGTATTGAGATCTACACACCTCTGCCATACAACATAGCTGCTATCATTGTTGTCTGTGTCCCCATAGGGGAAATTTGCTCCCACTTCCTGTATGTGGTTGTACCATTCTCTGGATCAGGAAGAAGCAACCCAATGAGATCACAGACAGAAAAAAAAAGTGCATGCATTGGAAGAAAAATGTCCCCACTTCTTGTTTCTGGTGGCACCAGTCTGCAGGACGGAATGTAAGAAGAAAACTCCCCTGTCGGGACAAGGGATAGCTGATGGCGCCGGGTTCCCAAGTAGAAACATCGTTCCAGCAAGTTTGCAGCGAGTTGAACTATAATACAGTAAAGCCCATCTCCCGCGAGCCAAAAAAAAGGACCCTGCCCCCACACTGCACAGGTTATGTGCATTTTTGTGTCTCGGGAGTGGAGTAAGGGCTTGTTCACACCAAGCGCGTTCTATGTGCAGTGCAGAGCAGTTACAGAACGGATCAAAACTGCGTCCAATGTATTCCAATTGTATTTTGGGCTCTAGTTCACACCACAGCGTTCAGTTCCAGAGCATGTAAAAAAAAACTGCAGCAAGCCCTATTTTTCCTGCTCTGGAACGCATGCAAATGCACCAAAAACGCATGCAAACGCCCTGGAATGCACTGGAAGTCCATTTTAGGCTAAGAAAAAACAACAACTTTTTTTATCAAAAACGCGGCAATGGGCTTTAAGCATTAGGTGTCCGACTCATATATTGGAGGTTCTACAAGAACTCTCTGGATAGGAAACACAGAAACAAGAAAGGAGCATCAAACCCAAGGTAGGGGGGTCTAAAAGTAAGTTTTATTAAAAAAGATCCAATCCAAACAAAGAGCAAACACATTCTGGGGATTTAGTGGGTGTTGCACTCTGGGGATGAGCAGTAGAGTAAAAAAATATTTCAGAGTATGTTGGAAAGCTCCACAGCAGCTGAAGCAATCTATTTAATAAGACAACCTCAGGTTTGGAACTCTATTATTGTTTCTATAGCCCTTCACCACACCACCCAAAGCTGCAAAAACTTCCATTTCAACAGGTAAATTCAGAATTTATATACTGTAAATGACTTGTGTGGTTTACACTTATGCCACCGACATCGTGAGTTTATTTGTTGTTGTTGTTTGGTTATTTGTTCATTATCTCAGGGGAACTTACATATTTCTAATATATATTTCCTAACTTGTGAAACTTGGTTGAAGGAACAGAAACCTTCTTATGAAAACTTCATGATCAGCTCAACATCAAACTGATATCAATATACATTTTGTAATCTTTATTTGAAAAGTCACGTGTTATAAAGCTGTGCTAGGCCTATAGAAGAATGATACGGAGAATAGCACCCAACCTTATTTATCACTGTAACCCAAAACCTAATAACACTAAGTTTAATACTTAACCTAATCCTTACACTTCACCATCCCTCGAGCTTATCCATAACGGTTACGGTAACCCTCAACCGAATTGAAAATCCTCAGTTAATACTTCACCTAACCCTTAAACGTTACCTCATTCTATCCCTTGAGCTTATCCATAACTCTTACTGTAATCCTCAACCAAATTCGCAACCCTCACTGTAAATACACAACCTAATCCTTAACCATAATTATCACTGTATCCCAAAACATAACACATAACCTTCAGTTTAATACTTAAAGGAGAACTATGAGGTGAGTGCTTTTCACTCACCTCATAGTTCTAGCCGACCTGTGACAATGAGACTGTCACAGGTCGGCTCAGTAGATCGGGAGGTGAGCGAACACATACCGGGTTCGCTCACTTCTCGATCCTGTCACAGCTTTCTGCCGTGACAGGGGAGGGACTGGATTCCCCCCTCCCCGCTCCGATCCGCTAGCGCTGACTGGCGGAACGGATGGGGGAGGGGACGGGTACAGCTGGCTATGCCTCTAGATAGGCAGAGCCAGCTGTCAGTCACGCAGCTGGGCGGATCCCGGCATAATTGTCGGGATCTGCTTCAGCTGCGGCGTCTCAGTATACCACGAGCGGCACCTCACGGTATACTGCTGGGTCTCAGTATACCGCGAGCTACAGCTCGCGGTATTCTGAGCCTAGGGTGACGAGAGGACGCTAGTTTGTGTCCTCCCGTTACCCTAAGGAGAACTATGGGGAAAAGACTTAACCCCATACTTCTCCTTTAACCTAAGCCTTTCACTTGCCCTCACTCTGTCCGTCAAGCTTATCCATAACTCTTACCGAAACCCTCAATCAAATCCTCAACCCTCACTGTAATACACAACCTGACCCTTAACCTTAATTCTCACTGTAACCCACAACATAACCGTCAGTTTAATATTTAACCTAACCCCTCACTTTACTATCTCAAGTATGACCATAATTCTTGCTCTAACCCTAACTCTAACTCTTACCCTTAGTTTCATAACTCAAGGTAACCCCTAAACCTAGACATTATAGAATAACCTTAAAGTAACCACATCTCTAACAGAGGTGTTACCTTTGTGCTAAACATTTTCTGTGGAAAATAAAAACTATGTAATAGTATATCAACAACACAACTCTTTGTTGCAACAATTCATATTTCAAAGATACCAAATACCAGCTCCAAAAAGTTACATTCTGATTACAACAGATGGCCATCTCTAAAATCTGAAGAGGAAGCAAGGAGACCAAACATGTCCTCTGTAACCAAAGGATCCTTTTCCCAAAACAGATTGCCAATCCAAAAATGTATTATCAGGAAAAATGCAAAACTGCAGAAATATACAAAAGAAGACAAAAACACGACCTAAAATGAAGGATAAATGGCATGAAGAAAATATGTTTGAAAGAAACTAGGGACAACAATAAGTTTGTTTGACATAAATGTAATTGTGTTATAGATATAAAACCAACTTTATACTGCGCTGTCTTTTAGGTGAAGTTCAAGATGCTCATAACACGACTCAATAGTCTACCATTTCTGAAGAAAACAGCCATTTAGCAGGAGGTAATAACAGTTTTCTTAGGAGACACATTTCTTGCTGTCTATGCGGGGAGGGACTGTCCCTAATATCGGTCAGACATATCTAACCTCTACAGCTTCAGTTGATTCACAGAACTCACTGCCACAGGAGGAAGATCTAGAGATTCATGGAAGAAATAAAGATGACATTTGGCAATTGCTGAGATGTGCAACTGCCTTCAAGATTCTATGAAATGATTGTCTGTCTATCTGCTTCCTTCCCATAATATAACTTAATAAAACTAAGGGATGGCCAGATCACTTTTAAGCTCCATAAGCATTTGCATAAATTCCTGTAATCACTATTTATAGTTATTTAGTTGTTTTGTATTACCCATGTTGGGTTTTATGTGAAGTATAGAGTAACAAGAATAACAGTTAAAAACAGTTACAGAGCCCGTGGCTTTGGTCTACATACTGGTGCCAGTTCAATGATTTAAAGTATTCATACAAGATAGTCAGCATGTTATCCGGCATTTTCAGAGGGAGGTCAGCAATGGCAGGCTTCATGTTTCTCTTGTGACAGATTTCCTTTACTAAACAAACACTAAGGCTAGGTTCCCATCTAGGCGACACCTCACCTTGCGGCAATCGTGCACAATTCCGTGCGGATTGCTGCGCGGTCAGGAGTTGCCAAGGTGTGAACTAATCGCACTGTGGGTGCCATTATATTCTAATGGCACCCCAGGCGGAACGCGCGGTTTCCCGCCATAATTCCGCCCGTGCTTTCGAACACGATAAACAAGCCACGCGTCATTTATCACAAAAAAAGGTACTTGTACCTTTTTTTCTGCAATTGCCGAGCGGATGTCACCCCATTTAAATCAATGGCGCCACACGGCAACCGCTGCCTGAATTGTGCGGGACCGCACGACACCCGGGTCGCGCATCACAGGTGTAGTGCAGGTGTGTACCTAGCCTGATATGACAGCATATGAATTGTATCTTCTTAAAGAAATCTGTGCTGAGGGAGTATATGGCCTGCCATCGTTAAGCTCTCCTTTTGAAAATGCTAGCTACTTGGCTGCGGTGTTAATCCAGTGGCTTCAGTACTCTCCGAGGCACTGACCCGGAACAAGTATACAGATCACGAATTCCGACTGCACTTAAACATTCCAGATCTGCATTCTTGTTCAAGGTCAGTGACTAAGAAAATATCCAAACCTTTGGATTAGCGTGACAGCCCGTCAACTTGCATTTTTAGAATCAGCAATTGAAGCTTCCATGTTTCTTTACAAGAATTTGCAGTGGTGTGTGTGTGTCAACAGTCCATTAGGAATTTAGTCATTTATTGCGAAGAGACAAAACAGAGCAGCCAGAGAATAGAAAAATCCCCGACACAATATGAGGGATCATGTCAGGAAAAGTGCTAACATAAACGTTACCCATTACAACCAATCACACTGCAGTTGTCATTGCTACAGTACACAGTTGAAAATGAAACACGCAATCTGATTGGTTGCTATGAGCTGCACAAATTGTTCTTTCCAGCACCCTTGTCATACATGAGCCCCATAGATAGTGTCTCTTATTGTTACATAGAAATACTGGCAACCCAGCATACACAACATGTCCCAACACACAGAACAATGCACACGTGAAATACTTCTCTGTGTGCTGTGCCTGTAAAGGTGTTCCTTAATAAATGCTCTCACTTTCTTTCAAGTAGTAATTCTTGGTTTAAAAATAGCTGCTCACTGTGTGGTTGTCGGCTTTCATTTGACAGTAATATGCTTGCAGCTCAGAGTAATTTCTGCAAAATGAGCAAATAGTGTTACCTTGCAATGGGGAAAGTGAGTAGAAGTCTGGAGTGCAGCAATAGAGGGATGACCAGCAGGAGGAAGGAGGTCCTGATTCCCCTATATAGATCTTTAGCTATCACTAGAGGGATCACCAGCAGGGGGAAGGAGGTCCTGATTCCCCTATATAGATCTTTAGTTATCACTAGAGGGATCACCAGCAGGGGGAAGGAGGTCCTGATTCCCCTATATAGATCTTTTGTTATCACTCGAGAGATGACCAGCAGGAGGAAGGAAGTCCTGATTCCCCTATATAGATCTTTTGTTATCACTCGGGAGATGATCAGCAGGAGGAAGGAAGTCCTGATTCCCTTAAATAGATCTTTTGTTATCACTAGAGGGATCACCAGCAGGTGGAAGGTGGTCCTGATTCCCCTACATAGATCTTTTGTTATCACTAGAGGGATCACCAGCAGGGGGAAGGAGGTCCCGCTTCCCCTATATAGATCTTTAGTTATCACTTGAAGGAACACCAGCAGGGGGAAGAAGGTCCTGCTTCTATATATAGATCTTTATCTATCACTAGAGGGATCACCAGCAGTAGGAAGGTAACCCTAGTACCCCTATATAGATCTTTAGTTATCACTAGAAGAATCACCAGCAGAAGGAATGAGGTCTTGATTCCCCTATAAAGATATTTAGATATCACTAGCGGGATCACCAGTAGGAGGAAGAAGGTCCTGATACCCATATATAGATCTTTAGTCAGTCCTCATTTAGAATACCGTGTCCAGTTTTGGAGACCTCGCTAATAAAAAGATATTGATAGAATAGAACGAGTCCAAATGTGGGCAGCAAAAATGGTGAAAGTTCTGAGGGCTAAAACTTATCAGAAGGGACTGCAAGGAACTAAAATTTACAGTCTTTGAAAGGGGGAACTTGATTGAATCCATTACATACATTATGGGTCTGAATAAGGTTCAGGAGGGCAGTACAGATCAATACATCCAGGGACAGTAATCTATTCCAAACCTTCTATAATTGTATCATATACCAGTGGTGTCACGGGGGGGTGCGGCCCGCACAAGGGTGACACCATTGGAGGGGTGAGACCAAAATGACTGACAGTCATTTTGGTCTCACCCCCTCTGAAAAGTCGGGCACTCGGTCATGGACTGAGAGCCCGACAGTTGCAGGAGAGAGGAGGGGACCCAGCGGCATACCTTCTCCCGCCGGGTGAACGTCCCCCCTCCTCTCTCTGCCGGCGTCCATCACCAAGATCACAGATGCAGCCCCTGTCACCCAGTCATTAACTTAAATGGGTACAGTGGCCGCATATGAACAGGAACACCTGGCATTCCTGGTGCAGGAATCCCAAATCACTCTGAGTGAATGGGGCCTTCAAGTACATCAAGTACATGTCCATGCACATGCATAGCCTACAAATTACATTAGACAAGAGATAGGGTTTGAATATCAGTGTGTCATGCCTCCTAGTGGCTATAGCTGGTAAAACACTGTTATTTTACTC